TGAGATCTCATCTCATCAAAAAGCTTTTGCACAACAAAAGAAACCACCAACAGCGTGAAGACACAACCCACAATGTGGGAAGAAGTGTTTGCCAGCTTTTCCTCAGACAAAGGATTACTATTGAAAACAAAAATAAAATAAAATAAAGCAGACCTCCCAAATTTAAAGATGCAATCCAAAAATGGGCTACTGAGTTGAATACACACTTCTCAGATGAAGAAATACAAACAGCAAATAAATATACAAAAAAAATGTTCAATATTACTGCTCATTTGAGAGATACAAATTAAAACAACACGAAGATTCCATCTCACCCCAGAAAGAATGGTTTTTATCAAGAGATCAACTAATAATAAATGCTGGAGTGGCTATGGAGAAAAAGGAACCCTTCTCCACTGTTGGTGAGAATGTAGACTGGTGCAATCACTGTGGAGATCATTGTGGAGAGTCCTCAAAAATCTAGGATTACAGGTCCAATTTGACCCAGTTATTCCCCTTCTAGGTATTTTCCAAAAAGAATATATATGCACCCATGTTTATAGGACACAATTTGTAACAGCTACATCTTAGAAACGAATGCCTATCAACAGAGGATCGGATAAAAAAAAATGTGGTCTTTGATATAATGAAGTACTACTCAGCCATAAAGAAGGACAAACTGGAGACTTATAGGGAAAAGAATGTAACTCAAGACCACACTCCTAAGTGAATTAAGTCAGAAACGTATAAACATTGTCTCCCTAGTTTGAGAAGATGAAAAATTAAATAAGACCTAAAATGTACAATAGATATTGTAAAATGGAAAGAAACTGTTCAAAAGGAAAGAGAAACTGGGATGGGGAATGGAGAAAAGAAGGAAGGGAAAAGAAAAAAAAAAAATATATATATATATATATATTTAAAATAGTTATACTACTAATTTCTCTTAATCCACTGAAAAGAAAAGTTTCTGGTAATATTATTTGGACAATTAAATGCCAATATCTTGTACTCTGAGTAACTACTTTAAAGATTACAATACACAATGTATTAACCATTGTATCGTCTTGTTTTCACACTTTCTTTTACTTTTCTTTTTAAAAGAAAAATAAAAAAATAGTCAATGGAGGTTTTTCAACAAGAAGTGACAAACTTAGAAACATATCTAGGAAAGGAAATCAAGTGGTATTTGATGGATTACAGGGAGGGATTGCTGCTGGAAAGAAGAACTATAGGGAAGTAAAGGAGCCACTTGGAAGTGTCTATGTAGTCCAAATCAGCAGCTCACTTCCTTATTTCCACTATGACATATGATATTATTATAGGCAGCTAAATTAGACAGATTAACATATCATCAGCTGGACATGGTGGCACATGCCGGTAATCTCAGCACTTGGAAGGCTGAGACAGGGGCATGGCTGCAAGTTCGAGGCCAGCCTGAGCTACACAGTCAAAGGCCAGGCTGACCTATAGAGTAAGACCCTGTTACAAAACACCAAAAAAAAAGAAAAGGAGGAGGAAGAGGAAGAAAAGGAAAAAGAAAGAAATTTCTATACAGTCAGAGAGGGACTGGACTCAAGGAAGTCAGCAAAAAATAAAAACGCAAGAATTGTGGCTGGGAGTGCATCTAAAGGAGGCCAAGCCTCAAGACAAAGTCACAAAGTGAGACTTGCATACTTCCCTAAGGGATAAGCAGAATTTGAGACTATACTGTAATTAGCACCATCCAGTCCATTAATTCCAGATGTGCATCAAACACCCCTTCCTACAAATGCCTTTGTTTCTTTTCTTGTACCTTGCTACATAACCTGCTTCCCTATTGGATCAATATTAGCTAAGCAGCTATATTTGTACTCCTATGGATTGAGCATAGTTTAATCCACATTGTGACTTTGTTATACAAATTACCCAGACAAAAAGCCTGAGTGGTAACCCACTGAGATCTCTCCTGTCTCTCAGGGGCTATTCCTAGGACCCAATAAACATTTCCTACCTTAACCTCCTTTGTCCTTTAGAATTCACTCTTCAATTTCAGGGATATGAACTCAACACATCTGGCGTCTAGCAGGTTGGGTTATACTTCTCCTTTATCAATACATTCATACCCAATCAAACAAACTGTACTTCCAACATTTGGTCTCTCACTCAACATGTCTGAGATTCTGACAGAGATGATCATGATCCTATTCAAACTGAATAAATTATTACTAACTCCCAGTTAGTAGTGCACAGGATTATCACACAAGCTTCGTAATGGCAACAAGGCATCTGTAGTTCTGAGAAGGAAAGGAGATTCTAGTTTCAAGAACAATCAAGAGAACTATAAGTTCCTTGAGAAGAACAACTAAGGCCACACCTGGTGTGCTAACAAATCATCACATGCTAATCACCATGCAAAACCCGGCCTTTCTCTAAGACTCACACTATTCCTCACCAGTGCCTCCTTTTCCTTGCTGGCAACAGCTGACTGACCAGCCACTCTCTTCATGGAGGATTCTGGTCTTGTGCCCAATTATTCTCTTCATAGTAATACCATAAACACTCAAATGTCCACTCCACAAAACAATCTCAAATTCCAGCTCCTTTTGGCCTCATTCCACAAAGGCAGTCCACTGGGTGCCACACCTTCCACCCTATCTCTGAAAATTTGCACAATATAAGCATTTCTTATTCAACTCTTTCCTCCCTTTGAAACACTTGTTCCTCACTTTCTGCTACAGGGCGGTACTTCCATGCTCCCATCTTTGCAGCAATGTTCTCTTCACCACCCCAGAGTTACTAGTGTTGCCCTACTCTATGTCAGAGAGAAGAAAGAGACTATCAGACTCATCAATGCCCCCCTGACCAACCCTATCAATCTGGCCAATCTTACTGGTTTCAGCCAAAATCTTCAAAGGAAGAAATGCCAGTCCCTGGCTCTACACTCCATTTTTTGATCAAACATCTGCATATATTCTTATGGACACTTTCCATCAATCTCTGCCAAACAGAATAAATATATTTTATCTTCTTTCAGATTTTAATACCCTTTTAGATTATCTGCCACATATAACAGTCTCAATTGTATCAGTCTAAAGATGTCCAACCTGGGGCTCCACGATATCATTCTTATGATTCTCCTCTTCCCTCTCATATACTATTTTATTCTCATTTTCTAGAATTTCTTTATTAATTCTTTCCTTACACACTGGAGTTCTAGAAACTTTCCTTTCTTCATGCACAATCTTCCAAATCCTATGATTTCAACTACCACCTACAAGTTACTAACTCCCAAATATTGCAATCTGATCTTAATTTCTTCTTCAACTCCTAAACCCTTACGTATTAAACTGCTGAACCGAGACGTTCATGGCTAATCTTAAGATCTCTCCTACCTAACTCAATATACTAAAAAACTAGAATTGCCAAAGTTCTGCCCAAATCTATTCTATTTATCTACATTGGCAAACAGTGTCATTCTCTACCAAGTCATCCAAGTAATTATCTAGTCATTCTTAATTCTAAACTCTTTCCAAGAGATCAAAGTAATTAAGAATTCAGGCAGCTCACTACCTGGGTTCAAATCCACTCATTAGCTGTAAGACTCTGGGCAAGTTATTTTACCACTCTGTATGTCCTGACTACCTCAAATTCCACAATCTGTACAGGTGATAGGAATATTCAGTGATTAACACAGTTAAAGTTTTAGTACAGACTAACATAAAATGTTGAAAAATATTTGCTAGTAGTAGTATTACTGTCACAACCAAGCAAATAACAGGAGAGAGACAGAGAGAGACAGAGATAGAGATCTCAGTTCTTCTTCATAACCCTAATCCTACTTTTGTTTCTGTCCTCATAAACTTTGAAGGACTAATACACCAAATTTAAACAACAGTAAAATGTGTATTTTTCTTAATCTACCATCTCAGGGTGGTTGCCCTACAGTTTAAGATCATGTTATAGTTTCATAGAAAGAAGGCAGTATCTTTTTTCTTACTAGCATACAATAATAATGCACCTTAAAACTGATGGTGTCTTAGATTCAATGAAATCTAGTAAGGGTCACATACCCTCCATTCTGATTTGCTTACCTAAGTTAATGACCCTAAATTCACTATTGCCAAAAGACTAAGAAGGGCTGAGAAAAAAGCTATGAACCAGCTATAACATTCTAAAAATGCCAGCTATTTCAACATAATTTCATTTTACACTGTATTTTTTTATTTCAAAGACTTCTGAAAAACAAACAATTAACTTTTAAAGATGTACCCATTCTTTGAACTACTTAACAGATATTTACAACATTCCAGAAACTATTTAATGCACTGGAGAGGTAACTGTAAAGAAATCAGACTTGAAAACCAGTGTTCATACAGTTTTTGTTCTAATAAAGGGCGATTTAAAAAAATAAATAGTATGGAGTCTATACTATATGATAATAAATGCAATGGAGAAAAAATAAAGACGGGAAGGATAGATTTATCATGTAAGAAATGACTGCCCTGCTTGGTGATAACACTAAAGTCATCGGACCTGAGAAACACCTCAAATGTGAGGTCTCAATTAGGTAATTACCGACGTAACTTTAATTTGGAACAGAAGGGGTAAACCTCAAAAGCCTTGGGTTTATACAGCCCATAAGCTGATCCACTTTAGTTACCATACTAATCAGGACTGTGGTTATAGCCTCTATGGCCTTGACAAGTCTTTGCCTTTTATATTTTAGGAGGTCATAAATGCTGAACGAGGGCACGTTTCAGGTCCTGGACTTACTGCCACCTCTACCTTTCCTGAACTCCCAAAATAGCTAAGTGTTCCCATTAAAGGGCTTCAGTGCTGTAAAACAGGTACTCCCAGGTGGCTGCTATAACTCATTTCAACCTGGCCGAACAGGCATGAATAAACCTCTTTATTGTTGGTTTTATCTTCCAGTCAGTGCTCGGGAATACAAAATGATCTCTAAAAGTTTACGCTTTATTAACTTCATGAGCCACCAGAAAAATTCCTTTGGTATCATCAAGATATTTCAGCACAGGTACCTTCAGGGTCCTAATATGATGCTCTGCTTCACTCTTTTCTTTCTTAAAGTACTTCATCAACTCCTGAATATTCTGTTCATGTTTCATTTTCACACTCTGCAGTGACGATGTGAGATCTTCCAGCTCCCTCTGGTGAACATCTCGCTCCAGCTTCAGCTGTGTGATGACAGTAGCTGTTTCTTCATCCTTGGATTTTGCCTGGGCTGTGAGGTCGGAAAGGTCCTTAAGCACCATTTTTTTGGCTTTCTCTTCTTCGGCCAATTTATTAGCAAGATCTGCTCGAATGGCACTTAGGTCTTTGATGGACTCTTGCATCTCAAGAAGTTTAGCTTTGTCCTGAATCTGGCTCTTCCTTAGTTCTGCAATTTCTTCCTCCAGGTGAGCTTTCTCACATTTCATCTGGCTTTGAACTTCATTCTGCTTTTTCAATTCTCCCTCTAGTCTATGAATGGTATCTGCAGAATTCTTGGCTTCTTGTTCAAGGTCAGCTTGATGAGACTTAATATTATTCAGTTTCTTCTCCTTAGAGTGAAGCTGTTCCTCTTGAAGGGCACGTTTGGTTAAGACATCACTCAATTCTTTTCTAAGATTCTCTATCTGTTGCAGTGCTGTATAAAGCTGACTTTTCAAATCATCCTTTTCTTTTAGAATCTAAAGGGTTAAGAACAAAAAGCAAAAATAGTTGCTGTAAAACTCAACATAGATTCTGCCAGGCAACAAAATAAAGTTTAATAAGTAAGGAAAATAAAAATTCATGATATAATACTTTTTACTTATTCCATCTTCGAAGAGAAGTGGAAAATATACAATTACACTGAAATAGTACAATATTGAAATGTATTTTGTATTTTATTACCAAAACATATCAACCCAGGACTATAAATGATAATTTAAATATAAGATAAAATCGAGAAAAGAAATGTGGAAAAAACTATTATAATTTACTAGAGGTTGATTTAATAAAGTACTACACAGGAAGCTGAGGCAGGAGAATCACAAGTTCAAGGTCAGCCTAGGCAACTGAGCAAGATCCTTTCCCAAAAAACAAACAAGGGCTGGGAACATAGTTTGCTAATAGAGTGCTTGTTTATTTACTAGTCAGCTTTCCCGTAACGGAGACATAACCTAAAACCCACAACTTCAAGGAGGAGAGGAAAAATTTAGCTCATGCTTTCAGGGGATTCAGCCCATGGTCAGGGGATTTAGCCCATCATCAGGGGCTTCAAGGAGAAATATCAGGGCAATGATGTGCATTCCAATGGCACACTTTTTAAAAGCAGAAATTTTGAAACCATGATACAAAATAATATATGGAGACACACAGATAAAATCTAAGAAAGGTTATAATGTAATCAGCTATTATTAATAAAATAACATCAACACTGACTACAAGCACTTCAATATACAGTTAGGGGTTTTGAAGACCAACAAAGGTAGAAATAATAGTAAGACTGAATAGGATGGGAAAGTGCTCAGGAGAAAAGTAATGGGCTATACATTCATCACACTCTGCCAGATTTGCTGAAGTTAGGGATTACACTGAGGAGGAGAGACCAACAGAGAACCATCATACTCTCTAATGCTCACCATTCCATCACTGTAGATGAAAAAATAGGCACCCAATGAAGCCAAGGTTATTTTCTGTACAACACTGGCACAGGACAATCCCCATACCTGCTTACTGACACTCACATATCTTTTTCTTTTGCATATTTATGAGGTGCAATGTGATGTTTTGATAATACCTACCATGTCTTGAATAAGGAAAAAAATAACATCTCAGAATCAGAAATATGAATTAAAATGCAAATATATACAAGGCAATTCAATTTTATACTTCGCTATGAAACAAGGATAAAATGTAATGAGTCAATCACTCCAGAAAAGGTAGTTTCCTTAAACCCTCCTAGGTTTTAATGGGAAGAAACAAAGAACACAAAGTTAACATAAAAATAAGAGGAGGTGATTAAACAGCTGAGCTTTCACCAGAAAAAAACTGAATTTGATTCTCAGTCCAGTCGTTGTATGGACTGAAAAAAGAAAGCCACTTGTCCGCATAGAAATAGCAGTTACTGGGCTGGGGATTTAGCTCAGTGGCACAGCGCCTGCCTGGCAAATGCAAGGTCATGAGTTTGATTCCTGGTACCAGAAAAAAAAAAAAGAAAGAAAAAAAAAATTTTAGCCAGGCATGGTGGCACACGCTGTAATCTCAGCACTTGGGAGGCTGAGGCAGGAGAATCATTGCGAGTTCGAGGCCAGCCTGGGCTACAAAGTGAGCTCAAGGCCAGCCTGAACTGCATAGCGAGATCCTGTCTCAAAGAAAGACAATAAATAAATAAACAAACAAATAAATAAATAAATAGCAGCTACTTCATGTTATGACACAGAATGAAGTCTCTTTCCAGAGGCCATCACATATTCTTGGACGTCTCAGCCTCCTGAACTATGAGCTGAATAAACTTCTATTTTTTATAAGTTACCCAGTGTGTGGTACTCAGTTATAGCAACAGAAAAGGAACCAAAACAATTAACAACGAAAGACTGGTACCAAAAAGTGACGTTGCTGCTGTAACAAATACCTGAAAATGTGGCAAAGGCTTTGAAACTGGGCAATGCACAGAAGCTGAAAAAATTCAGAGGAGTAAGCTAGAAAAAAATATTACTTTCAATAAAGTGTGAAAACATATCCTGACAAAGGCTGAGGAGAAAATTTTAGAGGGAATGTGTGGAGTATCTTAGATATTAATGAAGTGGTCATAACTAGGGAGAAATATGGATATAACAGCCATGGTGATGAGGGGCAAGACAGAAATGAAAGGCAAGATATTAGAAGGAGAAGTAAAGGTCATCCTTGTTAAACACGTGCAAAAGGGGCTGGGGATTTAGCTCAGCGGCAAAAGCGCCTGCCTGGCAAGCGCAAGGTGGTGAGTTCAGTTCCCAGTACCAGAGAAAAACACCAAAAAAAAAGTGCAAAGAATTGTGGTGCATTGTGTCCATGCCCTGACGGAAGGAAGAAATTAAAATTAATACACTAGGACACCTGGTAGAATTAAGAAACAGGTAAGCAGCAAAGCATTCAGGCTACTTGTGAAGCCGCAGAAGCATGACCACCCTTAAGATCTCAGAACTCAAGAGCTATCAGTGCGCAAACCCAGCCTGGACACCTGCGCCTCACTGAGCCCTGCAAAGCCACAGGAGAAGGGCTGTCAGAGGCTTCAGGGGCCCAAACGCCCCAGGGTGTTCAACTGGCAACATATGAAATGAAAAAAATTTATTCTCCAGCTTTACAACTCACTGTTGTTTTTCCTGCTGGGTTTTGCGTTTACGTGGATCTAGTTACCCCTCTTCCTTAACTATTTCTCCCTTCTGGACTTGGAATGCCTACCTATGGGCACTGCTGTATTTCAGAAGTAGGAACCTGTCTTTCATTTCACAGACCCGTAGCTAGAGGGAATGCATCAGTATGGATGGTGACTGAAGTCGCACCCATACCTGAGTTAGATGAGACTCTGGACTTTGAAATTTTTATTTGATGTCAGAACAAATCATGCCTTTAGGGGAGATTAAGATAGAATAAATCTATTTTACATGCGAGAAGCACATGAGTTTTAGGGGGCCACGGGAATTCTAAAATTCATGAGAAATGTATTTGTTTCTTTTGTGGGGGCACTCCTAGAGTAGTTGTTTCCAGGTTCTTGGTATGCAGAAACAGGAAAGCAGTAACACAAAGTAACAGTTTATTTAAGGAGGGTCAAAAAGAGTAAAGGAGAAAGGGGATGGGGGTGGAGGGTTAGCGGCACACTCCTATAATCCCAGCACTCAGGAGGCTGAGGCAGGAAGAACTCAGAGGGGCTACAAAAGAGAGGGCAAGAGGAGCTTGAGGTATACTTCCATGATATACAACACTTAACCTTACCATCAGTGAGAAAAGCAATCACAAGGCTAGCAAAGTAGGGTATACATTAAGAAAGAAAACTAACAGGAAGGACCCTGTCTGAGAAAATGCAAAAAGAAGAGCTGCAATAGGTTACACTATTATAGGAGATGATGTCTTCAAGAAATTACTAGATTATTCCAAGAGCTCTGCCTTATGAATGGACTAATGCTGCTATCATAAGTGAGTTAGTTATCTTTAGTCTGCGTTTGTTATAAAAGTGAGTTTAGCCAGATTCTGTCTGTCTAGCACACATTCCACCATGTTATAACACAACACAAAGGAACTTGCCAGATGCCAGTGCCATATTCTTAGACTTTCCAATCTCCAGAACCATAAGCCAAATAAATGTCATTGTTGATAAATTACCCATTCTGTGGTATTTTCATACAGCAGTAGAAAAAAGACTAAGACAAGCCTCATGTGATTAGATTATACCTATGTATATAATCTCCTTATCTGGTTGAACACACAGTATAACATAACATAATCCTGGGTGTAATATATTCACAGATTTCAGAAATTAGAGTGAAATGACTTTTGGGAAGGTCATTTCTATGTACCCCACTGCAACAGCAAGCAGAAACACTGAAACAACACCCAGGATTTGGAGGCAGATTTATTTACATTGACAGGCACTGATCAGGATCATTCCCAAAATATCAGGCCCTCATCTTTAGTAGCCTAGGGCTTATATGGGGTAAGCAAGCAGGAAGTACAAAGGCAGAATGGCTTGTCAATCGGGGATTGGTTTATACAATGTGCATCATAGTGACCAGCTATTTCTAAGAGACAGGAGCAACCGGAACTGGAACAGGAACTATAACCTGGGCAACTAACAAACTGAAGTACACTGGCTGCAGCATGGGGTCATTTTCTGTTACGCCAGTAGAAGAAGAAAAAATATGGCTATAAGAATGTGGGAACGGCCTAAGAGTGAGAGGAGGCAGCTTAAAATACAGTGATCAGTGTCTGGAGCAGATAACAGTCCGCTTATTAAAGACAGCTAAGTTGGGTAGAAATATTATATAGGCAGTCAGACAGGGGAAGGTTCTATAGAATGTCAGTGGAAAAGATGAAAACACATTAAACTGTTGCTGGATGCACATCAGTTGCAGGCCAGGCCAAAAAGGTAAAGACAGAATGCCCAGTCCCACATGCCTCTCCAAAGGGTAAGATTAAGTGGTAACACCTGGTCCAATAAAGTCTAGATAGACATCAGTCACCTCAGTGTGTGACCAAACCCTCAGCCCCATCCTTTCCTGAAAAGTTCTTTGTTCTTTCCATGTACACTTGCTACATGACTTGCTTCCCCATTGGATCAATATTACCTAAGCAACTATACTTACAATCTTATTGGTTGATCATACCTTTACTCCACATTGTACCTACCTCATGATTTTGCTCTACAAAACTTCCTTTGAGAAGTTGGCTCCGTGGCAACCCACTCGGTTCCCCTCCTGCCTCTCAGGAGCTGTATCTCTCTAAATATAATTTCCTACTTATAACCTCTCTTGTTCCTTACAATTCATTCTTAGATTTTGGGAAACACAAACTCGGCATACTGGATATCTAGCAGGTTAGGCATTATAGTACTTCCCCTGTATCATCTGGAGATCCTATATAACCCTGGCAATTCTTTAAGAGGGTTCCAAGCAGTCCTGAAGATTAAAATCATATTTTCATAAAGTTCTATTAAATGTGTTTGATTACAAAA